TCCCCTGGGTTTATTGTGAAGGTAGAGGGGCTGAGTGGATCTGTTCTGTGCAGTTTCTTAGCCAAGGCCGAGCTGGCCTCTTCCCCCAGTAGACCTGCATCCATAGGCAGCATGGGAGCCCATTGTCTGAACACAGAGGTTGCAGCAACTCATTCCCGTGTGCAGTGTGCTGGATGAAAAAATCTCTGACCAGCCCCAGGGACTTACGAGTATCCCTCAAGCCCCTCAATACCTCTCTTCATGTAACTAGTTAATGCTTAGCCCTGTGCTCCCAGCCCATCCAGGACAGGGACTCAGTACACTGCTGGTCACTTTCTCATGGGCACCACCCCAAACCAGAAGCTACTCCAGTCCTGAGAACCTTATCTAGGGCCCTGTCTGAGAAACTTCTGGTCCTTGCTGAACCTGAGGTCCCCACCTGACACCTTAGCTTAGTGTGCTCACTGGTAATAGCTGAGGAATCAGGCTTTGCATGGTGAATGATACAGATGTTGCCATGGGGAGGGTGAAGAGCTTCCTCCCAGGAGAGATATACACAGGGACTAAAGAGTCCAGAGGGGAGAGAAAGTTCCACAAGACTTTTTGGAGAAGTGGTTGAGAGGGTCAGTCTTTGTCAGCTTGACTACATTAAGAAACACTTAAGGGCATTAGTGAGGTGCCCTTTGGGTGTACCTATGAGGGTGTTTCCAGAGAAAATTAACAGAGAAGGGGAAGACCCTTCCTGAATGTGGGCAGCACCATCCCATGGGCAGAATGCCAGCATTCATATGGCCCTGCTTCTTGAACACCCAGATGTGAACCAGCACTCACTGGCAAGCCTTCCCTGCCATAATAGACTACACCCTCAAACTGTGAACCCAAATAAACCCTTCCTCCCTCAAGTTGCTTCTTGTCAGGTATTTGGTCACAGCAATGAAAAACACAATTTGTACTGGGGTGTTGAGTATGAGTTGGACACGTGGTTAGCATCTCCACAGGGAGAAAAGGGAAGAGGCCTCTCCAAGGTGCAAAAGAACTTGAGCAAGTAAGAGACAGTGTGGCTGGCAAGTCTCTCAGTTTGGTGGCCCAGACCAGAGGCCAAGGCCAGTGTAGAGCAGGCATTGGAGGCCCTGGGATGCCATGGAGCTGGCCTGTGCAGAGTATCATCTTCAAGCTCAGGCTAATTTTGTGGCGGAGTCCATCCTGGCCACCAGGCTCCATCCTGCCACTGCAGAGGCACACTGAGGCACAGAGGGAGTCTGCATCCTGGAGTTCCTCAAAGCTTTGATGTAGCACACCCCTGGGGTGTCTGACTCATACTGGGAGAGGTGAGCCTGAGTTCATCTCCTTGGGAATCCCCTGAGCTCCCAGCTTCCCACTCTCATCTTTTGGGGGAGGGGTATGGCTGGGAGGGTGTGGGGGGCTGCCTAGTCTTTTTTTTTTTTTCCTAAACAAGTAGATTCTACTAATCCCTTTCATTCTACAGATACATATCTCTTGGGTCCCCACCATACACCCACCTTGTTCTGAGATCAGATACCCAGATACCACAGCCATGGAGTTGGCTGCTGGTGCCTGACCTGGCTCCTAGCCAGTGCCCAGCCTGGTCCCTGAAACTCCCAAGGATACAGTTTCTAATTAGGTCTTTACCCCAAGTTGGGAGCTTGGTTTTCATAGAGCTTCTAGGCCCCTCCCCTAGCTCATGTGGACACAGCAGAAGATGAAGAGGTTGGTGGGGGATGGGTCACAGCTTTGCTGACCACAGGCCTGTTCTGCAGGTGGTCAGAACCCTGAGTCCTCCTAACAACAGCTCCTTCCCTCAGGCCTGGGTGGGGCCTCAGTCCCTGCTGGGTGACCCCAACCTAGCCTAGCCACAGCTCTCGCCTCTGGGGAAGCACTCGAGCATTTTTCCTTCTCCAATTTCAAATTTTAATGGGGAACAGATGTGCACACATCTGGCTCAGTCACTCCCACCCCTCCTTCCCGCCTCACCTTTCTAGTTCTTCAGATCCTCAGATGGAGTAGGGAGGTAGGAGATGGGGCTGGGGCTAGGAACAACATGGGAAAGCTGAGCTCAGGGTGCCACAGGGCAGGCAGCCTTGGCGGGGGTGGAGGACTCAGACTCCAGACTCTGCCATGGTGCCCAGACTAAACATCGATAGCAAGGGTTTAGGCCAAGAGTTCTCAGGCCACCCTGGGGTGGGAGTGGACCTGATCACCCTCCATGAGCCAGCCTGAGTACTTGGTTGCAGGAATAGAAACCTTGCTCCCTCTACACCCCCAGACTCCACTCCAAGCAGTCCAGATACAGAGATGGGCCACAGGTTTCCTCGGCAACTCCCCAGGCTTTCCTTCTAGGTTTTCTGCCTCTCCAACACAAACCCCCACCATCACCACAGAGATCTATGACCCCTCCTCACTGGTCCCTATCCTGGTTGGCTCCAGGCCAGATCACCCCAAGCCCTTCTTAATAATGGCACAAGAATTATTTCTCTCAAGTATTATGAGAGGCTGTGACTTGCCTAGGGTCACACAGCAGAAGAGTGGCAGAGCCAGTCTTAGATTACCCTTGCCTAGGGTCTTCTCTTCTCTTCCTTGGTAGCCTCTGCCCAGAGCCTGCTCTGAAGGCTGACTGAGCCAAGCGCCTCACTCACCCTTCTGGCTGAAGTTCTGAGCGCCCGGGGGGCTCTTCGATGTACCAGCTGCTGTAGTCATCTGTCACCTCAGAGGAGGTCTGGTTCCCGTTCCCTGCTGCCTGAGATGCCATGTTCCAAGTCCTTCTCCCTTGACCCCCAGACAAGAGAGAGAGAGAGAAAAAAAAGCCACTACACATGTGAAAAGAGGCTTAAAAGAAAAAAAGAAAGAAAGCAAACTCAAACAAAGAAACATTTCTTTTTAATCCGAAAGGTTACTTTCTTGCTTTTAGCTCTCTGGGAAAAGCTGGTCTAGAACAGCAGGTCCCAGGAGGCTTGCAAGGGAGAGGGAAGAACCCCAGGACTCCCCTCCTGTCCCTTTCCACCCAGTCTTGCCTGGTCTGACAGAGTAGTCTCTTGCACCCCAGCAGTTCCAGGCTCTTGCTGGAGCACCTAGTGGGCTAACTGACCAGCTACCTGGTCCATTTCAAAGATTTCCCTAGTCCAAGCTGCCCGCAGAGACCCCTTCCTTCCCCGCCCCAAGCCCACCCAGATGGACCCGCAGACAGAGTAGAAAGGGGGACCAGGGAGGAAGGAGCCGCAGAGATGAAAGGGTGGGCGGGCTGCGGGCGGCTCCAGTTGGTCTGCCCCGCCATCTGGGCTCCCCACCCCTCCTGCTCTGGGGTCCAGCCCAAGCCCTCCCCTCTTTTCCAAGGCTCCCTTGAGACCATCCCCCAAGCCAACCCCTTCACCTTTTCAGCCTCAGTGCTGGGAGCACACCATGATTCTTGACAATACCCCACGGATGGACAGTTGCCACTGACGGCACACACGTCTGCACCTGCCCTGAGCTCCCCCACCTAGGCACAGACCCTCTGCAGAGCCCAGCATCCTGGCATCTTATGGTGACACCCTACTGGGACCGGCCACAGAGACAGGGAGGGAACTCTCCACATGGTCTCCTGGGTATACATGAGGGAGAACACACGTGTCACACCAGTAAAACCTTTTTGTTCCTACAACTTGATTTCACAAGAAGATAACTCACTCCCACAGGCGGAAATGAGTCCTTTAAACTCAAACCAGACCTGTGAGAAGACAAGCTCCGCCTGCCTGCTGCTGCTTCCAGCCCAGTGAAGGGGTGAAGGTTTCTCCTGTCTTCCGGGAGGACCTGGACCCCTGGCTGCCCCTCCCTTCCTTGGCCCACCCTGAAGGGAGGGGCAAGATGCAGACAAATCAGAGGGTTGTTCTCAGCTCAAACCCTGAAATATTGAGGGTCTCCTGTCTTTCAGCATTCCATAAGGAGGACTTGGGCCATGGCCATACCCAGTAAGGTTAAAAAAATTTTTTTTGTTATGTTTACTTATTTTGTTGGCCAAGGGGTAGCGCATGCTGTGGTGCAGGTAAAAGTCAGGAAAACTTGTGGGAATTGGCCCTCATCCTCCACCACTCAGGTCCTAGGGGAGAATCGAACTCAAGTTGTCAGGTTTAACAGCAAGCACCCTTACTCACAAAGACATCTCTCCAGCCCCTACATCCTCTTAAAAGAGACATTTATTCATTTATTCTTTCAACAGAAACTTACTGAACACCTACTATGTGCCAACATTGTTCTGGGCCTTAGAACCAGAGACAGCACAATTCTGAGGAGTAATACGTGTTAAATATGTTAAATAGCCCCAGAACCTGAGGGTTGTAATAGGAGGGGCATAGGGTGCCTGAGTGGCACCATGGGAACTGTTTTTGACAAGGCAGAAATGGGGAAAATCACCTTTGGATAGAGTTCTTAAAGGCAGGACACCAACTGAGCAGAGGGCCTGGGTAAACCAGAGAGGGCTTGTTCCCTGTAGAGGGAAGCTCTTGGACGAATGCTCAAAGTGAACAGGGTTTCAATCTCACAGACTCCTCTGTTAGTCAGGTCCACCAAGCCGGATGGGAGCCTGAGCACTGTGAACCTCATTCCTCTGCCTCCTTCTCAAATGGCCTGTCTTCCAGGAGTTAGGCTCTGATTTTCCTCCCCATCTCACAAAGGAAGTTTCTCCACTGCCTCACAGCTGAAATAGAGTTTTCTTATACCCAGCTCAGGAGCTCACACTGGCCCATCTGATCTCAGGGCGCAGGCTGAATCCTGCCTTCCAGCCTTGCTGTGTGCTCCCTGGCAACAGAAGCTTGCTTCTCCTTCCTTTCCTTGGTGCAGTGCTGGACTCTGAGGTCACAGGGACTTTGAAAACTGAGTTTGACAAACTCATACCTTGTTTCAGTGGTCATTGTTCACTCGTGGTCCTGTGCTGTGCTGTATGACCGCTGTGTTCCAGGCTTGCTGGAGCCCTCTGCTCCAATGCCAGTCTGGCATGCCCCTCCCCTCTCAAAGGCCTCAGATCCTTGTCATAGGGAACAAACAAGACAGGGTCTTGCTGTAGCCCCAGCTGGCCTGGAACTCACTGGTAGACCAGGCTGCCAGGCTGACCTGGAACTCACAGAAATCCACCTGTCTCTGCCTCCTGAGTACTGTGATTAAAGGTGTGTGCCACCACATCCAGCAACCCCTATCTGACTTTAACCCTTCCCTCATTTTATCTCTAACAAGAGGAGCCTAGTGACCTCCTCCCAGACAATGGATCATGGCCTGGCACAAGGCAGACACTTCTGATTGGATATGTCTACCTACCAAACCTGTCCTGCCTTTGAGGGAACCCACTGCTACTTCTCTAGCCAGGTTCCTTTATTCATTCCACATATCTTAAGTGCCCAACCATGTCTCACCTGTTGATGCAGAGGCGAGTCAGTCCTGCATCCCATGGGACTTAACATATAGGGAAATGAGAAGGAACATCTCACCATGAGCCATGAGTGTTGGGGGAGGAGGGATACAGTGAGGGAAGAGAAGAGAGAGAGACAGTATAGAGCAGGCAATTTAGAGGGACTGCTCAGTGAAGACTTCACTGAGCAGGCGATAAGTGGCTTAGACCTGAAAGGAGGGAGAACCGGACTGGATCAGTCTTCCTGAAGAAGTCTCCACTGGTCCAAGAGAGCAGCTATATACAGAGGCCAAAGCCAAGGCCAGTCCCCCCCTCCTACCTCCCTGGACCAAACCTGCTCCTCGAGAGGACTACCTCTGGATGCTACCCCAGACCCCAAAATGCCACCTCCCTCTTCCCTAGGGAGGGAAGCTACCTTGGGGAAGGCCTCACCTCCCCAGCAGAAACGAAGAAAGTATAAGCTTTGTTTCTTTCTGTTGGCATGGACCCAGAGACAGAAGCAGCCTTGGGACCAGTGCCTTGGGAAAGGCAGAGCTGGCAAGGGAAGCAGGACACGTTTCCACATGGAAGAGGATAAAACACTTAGGGGAGGCAGGCTACCTGTGTTTGAGCCCTGTCTCTGCCCCTGTGGCCTTGAGTGTCTCCCTGCCCTGTTGGATCTCAACCCTACTACTGCTATAGCATCCCGCCTACAGATTCTTCTTGTAGCTTTTCTCCCAAGGCCCCTACTCTCTGTTCTTAGTGACTTCATGGCCTGAGAATGTGGAGTCACCATACCAGACAGTGTTGGAGTAAGCAGTTGGTGCCCCCACTGCCTTCATTCCACCTTGTGGGTTCCCCATCCACTCTGGTAGGGCCAGGGGCAGATTCATGGGTATTGGGTGGTCGTATACCTCCAAATGAAGACAAACTCACTTCTTGAGCCCAAGGTCCTTCCTCAACCTGGGGCTAGAACAGCATGTTGCTCCCACCTATCAACTGGAAGATGGGCTCCCTAGAAGCCAGAAAGCAGTTGCCTGATCACACTGCAAGCTGGTAAGGAGCAAAGCTGGGGGCCAGAGATGCTAAGATGCGCCCCTGAAGATTTCTCTAAAGTCCTGGGCAACAGGTCCAGCCTGCTTCTGGGAGCTGGCTCCATAGAGGCTTGTGTACCTACAAGAGCAGCAGGCTAGCCCTGCCCTTAGGAGGGGTACACTTGGGAGACAGAACTGTAGAGCCCCAAGGAGAATGGAGGGCAAAGAAAGGAGGCAATCTTGGAGGCTTCCGGGAAGGGGGGACGTAGAGTAGGGCCCTGAGATCAGAAAGGGCCAAGATGGTAGTAAGAATGTAGTGTCTTAGGGAGCTGAGGTGGGGGAGTACAAGAGAACACAAAGCAAGGCAGACTAGAGCTGCCCCCCCACACACACTGTGGCCTATGTGAGCCCTGGTGACACATTCCAGTGAGGCTGATGCCAAAGTACCAAGGTCCCTGGGAACAGCCGCAGTCAACAGGACTCATAACTGGAGGATCTAGATATCAGAATGACTAAGTCCTGCCCCCTCATCCCCAACTCAGTGGGCGGGATCCCTAAAAAGCATCCTCAGTCAGTGAAGGCCATTGGCCACCTGGGCTTGATAGGGGGAGATTTTGTCTCTTGGGATGAAGCTGCTCCTTAAAGGCCTTGGGACAAGGCTTCCTTCCTCTCTGTGTTTTTGTTCAAGTTGATTAAACCTGAGGAATGTTTGTGTCCAGGAACAGAGGCCCACGTGTGTGCCTTCAGCTGCCTGTGGTTATCGAAATCTTCAAAGGCCAAAGTGCTAAGCTTTGGAAGGAGCCAACAGCAAACCAGGAAGAATGGGGGAGGCAGCAGCATCCCCAAATCCTCCAAAGGACCCCCAGATCTCCAAAGCACTGCCAGAATCTCAGCCATATTCCCTGCACATCAGTACCACCAGACATGCCCCCGATCCTGACTTTCCCAAGGGCCCTGAGAACTTCAGAAACAAACTTGCTCAAACACTGAGAACTACAGCCTAAGTCCCTGGCAGATCAAACTGGAGGGGGAGCAAAATGATTCAAACCCAGTGATCAGCAGCTGGAGCCCACAGATCCCCATTATCCACCACTCTCCTACCCCAACCTTGGACTCTAAGCCCAGCAGCACACCCCCAAGGTCCTATAACACCCAAACCTCAGAAAGGTCCCTCCCATACACCCCAATCCCATTGAAAGGTATAGGGCCCACTGGGTGCTTCAGTTCACCATGGGCCCAGTGGCATTGCTCCCTGGGTAGCTTGGCCCCTCAGAGAGCCTGTGGGTAGACAGAAAGGTAGAGTCAGCCTCAAGAGGGAAGGGAGGTGGGGGGGTCTGCCTTTGTATACACAGCATACACACACATACACACACACACATACACACACATACACACATATCAAACATCCCCCAGCGCAAACAGGGATGGGATTATCCTGGCTCCACATAGTGGGCTGGGAAGTAGGGCTGTTGGCTACCAAGCTTGAGAGGAGAGTGGGTGGCTCTATCTCCTGCTTCCTCTGCCATACAGGAGGGTCAGAGCATCATGGGATAGATGCCTGGAATTCTATACCCCTTTACCTACAGCATCATCTTAACATGGGGGAATTAGATCAGAGGCTGTCTCTGTGTTGAGGTAAGATGAGGAAGATCAGGGTAGCTTGCTGTTCCATGGAAGTAGCATGTTCCTCCCAGAGAGGGCTGGGCTGGGACAGCACTGGTGAGGGAAAGGTGGGAGGCTGACTTCTTCCTGCTCAGGGCAAAGGCG